AAAAATCAGGAGATTTGGCAAGCCTGCTTACACCTCTAATTGTATATAATAGAAAAGTAAATGTGATAGACAATTGACAAAGAAAAAAGAAAAAACGTACATCAATAATAATAATAATATATGTATATTCAGAAACAAGAAAAAACATCTAATTAAATAATAATAAGAGAAAATTATTCGAATGAATTTTTACTATATCATATAGATTGTAGAATTTATTAGTTAATATATTCAACTCAAACAAAATATTATCGAAGTTAATCATAAATTGATTATAATCAATAAAATGTATCAGTAAAGTTCTATTCGATCTATCATTTTAACTTCTATAAATAACTATAAACGCTCGAATTGAAAGTATTGACCTAGAGTTTTAATTATTAACAAAATGTACTTATCATTAAACATTTGATTCGAATTGTTAGAAGATAGAAAACTTCAACTTCTACTCATTTTTCTTTTCTTTGAAAAATATATATGAATTTTACATAATACAAAAATTTGTTAGAATATTTCGAATAACCAATTCTATTTCTGAAAATTAAATTCTTCTAAAACTCATTTACTGTTCAGCAAAAAAATAATAATAATGTATTCTAATGTTTTTATTTTTATTTTTCATCTTATCGAAACATAAAATAAAGAAGAATTGATAAAATTAGAATAAATATTGTCTTCCACCAACGTAAAATAAAAAATCCAAATACTTGTTTTCGTCGACATTGAATTAAATGTTTTTGATAATTTTCTCGAAAACCTTTCCATCCACATTTATTAATACAATTAATAGTTTGTTTTGGACATGTACAAGAAATATGATCATTAAAATTTGATCGTTGAATATTTATTTGTTGACATAATGTACATTCAACTAATAAACGATTTAATTGATTAATAACAACTCGACTAATAACAGGTTGAAAACGATTTCCTATTTGTCGACATGAAGGACATGATGTTTGTTGTTGCATCCATTGTAATATACATTTTTCACAATATGTATTTCCACATGTTGTACAATTCATAGGTGATTGAAATGGTTCATCACATATTGTACATTTAAGTTCGACATCAATTTGATCTTCATTTATATATTTATAAGTCATATTTTTTTTTTCTTTTTGTTTGATGAAAAATATCATAAAAAAAAAAAAAGAAAAAGAGTACGTACTGTTCTTCAGTTGATTTATATTTTTTTTTCTTCCCTTGTGACACAGAAGAAGATATGGAGAAAAAAAAATTAAAAAGGTTTACGTCTTTACATATTGTTGTCTACCTTTCTCTTACATACATACGAACACGTGTCTTTTTATGTCGATGACTCTTGTTTTTTTTTGTACTTTTTGTGTTTTTAAAATATTCTCTTAATTTTATTCGTTAAATAAACAAGTCTATTTGAGAAAATATAAATAAATTTCATATTCATTGGAATTAAAAAGAAAAGATGAATTTTTTAGAAATATTATACATGTGATACATTGATTTCATATTTAAGTTATTTATTGCAGATTCTATTGAAATAAATATAAGAATAAAATACAATATATGGTTTTATTAAGATTACGAATATTAAATAAATAATTAGTTGATTTAATAAAATTTAATATTTATTTAGAAAAGAAAAATTTTTATCGAATTCAAAATGATTATAGAGGTCATTTTAAATTCATATAAATCTTAATTCATTCAATAATAATAATGAATCAATTCTCTTACTGATAGATATTGTATCCATATTGATTTAAATAGAAAATAAAACATAAACTTCTCTTTTTGTAAATGAAATTTAAAATCAAAGAAAAATCTTCATCTATCAAAATTTTAAAATAATTTTTATTAACATTTGAAAAAATACAAATAAATCTCTATTTTAAATTACAATATGCTCGATTTTGATTCAACTATATAAGATCTAGATATTTAAAATTTTAGTACAAACATAAATGAATGAAAGTATAACCATGTTTGTTTATTTACAATATTGTTATTTCTTTTTTCTTTTTTTTTTATTTGTTCGTTTTCGATCACGTTCTCTTCATTCTTTCTATAAGTATCAAACATAGTAGTAGTCATACGAAATCGAAATGGGTAATATCCTATCATCTTATTGGTTGTCTACATCAAATGATAATTTAATATCATCAAGTTTAATATCATCTCAATTAATACATCGTCATACACTTTCAACATGTTATGATGCAATATTTGATGTATCATTATCATCAAAAATAAATTCTATACTTTTAAGTGATGATGGTAGACTTCGATTATTTAATATTGATCTAGATAATGGTTGTCAATTGATTGAAACAACAACAACAAATATATTATCAACAAAATTATTACCTCATGAACAAGTACATGATATTCAATGGAGTACAAAACTTGATCGTTTTCTTATTCTTACATCAAAACGTTTAACAACATTTGATAATGAAAATAATTTAATTAATCTTAATCTTACACATGAAAAAGGTTATTTTTCTCATAGGAAATTTTTATATTTTTTACAAAACGAAAACAATATATATATTTATTTATTTTAATTTATAAGGTAGTCCACCATTTTGGCGTATGGCTTGTTGGTCATCTCATCTTATTTTAAATCTTGGTTTAGGTATATCTATTCGTTATCATCGATTAGTTTCATTAACATCAATTCCTTTAATTAATACATTAACACGTTCATCACTTGGTTATAATAATTCTGATTTACTTTCATCATTTGCGCTTAGTCCACAATTAATTCTTGCTATTAATGTTGAATTAAATGATAATCGTCATGTTATTGATTTATATTCTATAAATGATACATCAAAATTTCATCGTCTTAAACGTATTAATTCAAATGAACCATGTTCACTTGATATAATAACATCATTACGTAATTGTACATGGTTATGTAAATCACATTGGCCATCAGATGATTGTTTATGTATAATTGAATCTGATGGTCAAGTTAATAAAATTAATTTACATGAACAAAATGGTTATATTCTTAATTTAAGATTATTAGCTGATCGATCACATGTAGTTATTATACGTACACCAAATAAATTACCAAAAGAAATTGATATTACAGAATTAAATAGAATTGATCAAGCTGAAGAACGATCAACACATGGACAAAGACGAAAAACAATTGGCAAATTACCTGGAAATCTTTTATTAGAAATATATAAAATTCCATCAACATTGAACTAAAAATAGAAATATTCTTTTCGTGTAAATCATTTAGAAAAAAAAATACTAAGATTGAAAAGCGCTTCTTTTTTTTTACTGTAGAACGAATGAAACACAATAAATCAGATTCTTGAAATTTGCTTTTTTTTATTTTATTTAAAAGATTCAGTTCTTATTACTTGACACAACTAAGAATTTCTATGAATGTTATGGTTGGTTGTTTTTTTTCATATACAATACCAACGATTACTTGAAAAATTGAAATGTGTTTCTGGACTCACCATTTGCAAAATTTATCTTCAAAACGAATAATGTAACTATTAATTTGTGAATTGATTTTTGAAAGAGTGATGTTCTTGATATCAATAAGCAGGAGAAAATTGTTATGATATGACTATGAAATTTAACAATAGAATGTGATTTTAAGTTTTCTGTTTTATGTTAATAAAAATCAACGGTCTTCCAAAAATACATGTATATAGTACATATATTATTTATTTTGGGGGGACAAACTTTGGGCTAATAAGTTAAATAATAAAATTTTATAGAAAGACTTATTTGATAAGTTATTTTTTTTTTTTGTCGAGGCATTGTTTGGATTGTGTATACAAAAAAAAGAGACATAAAACATTGTTTCATGAATAGAAATACATAGTTTTATAGTATATTAAGATTTGAATCCTTGGATAAACAAACTATGCTTGATCGGGAAAGAAACACTAGGGATATAACAATGTCAATATAGGAGTTAGATAATTGATTAGAATGAAAGGATATATCCTTTTGCATCAGTATATTCTTTACTTTATAGTGACGAATGTAAAGATTCTAATGGTTTTTTTCTGTCTGATAAAGCTTAATCAGAGAGAAGAAGATCAATCTTTTTTTTTTTTTATAAAACTCATTTGAAGAATGTTAGAGGCGAATAATTCGATACTGTGAATGATTGACCAAAATTTTCAAATTGTTCTTTTTTTTGCAAATTGGGAAAGTTTTGTGTCGAGAAAACAGCAAAATTTTATAGAATGTAACTAAACCCAATAAAAATTAATCATCATAGATTGAGAAAAAGTCAACTGAAAAATTTTCGATAATCAAAGAATAAAATTGAATATTTCTCTTCCGAAAGCTTTTAGTCGAATTTTTTTCAAAATACTACTTCTATACTACTCAACCTATAGTAAGAGGACCGCTGCAGTAAAAATTATGAATTTCGTCATTCTCATCCTGTGGCAAACTTGTAGTATTTCTCGATCCAATGCCGTTGTTCTTTTCAGAAAAACTAATTTTGAACTTTCGATTTGAATCTTTACATAGAAACAAGCATAACTGAGAATAGTTTATTATGACAGTTTCAGATGCTTTTGTTGTTCCTATCCCAAGATACAACCATGATAGAAGTGCATCCATTACATTGTTCATAAACATCCGGAGATGGGTGCAGACATGGAAGTCTTCTCTTCATCCAACCCCCTCCCCGCATCTTTCTAGATGTGTCTTGAATCAAACGTTTAATTAAAAGAGAAAAACAATGAATGCCTTGATTCGGCCACATCTGCAAAATAGATTTTGATATTTTTTTGAAAATTTTTCTTAACAAATTCTGAGTAGAACATTTCATTAGAAGCTCAAACAAAAGAAAATAGTCTAATTCTATTTTATATAATTATCTAAAACTAAAGAATTATAGAGAAAACATCGAAGTAATGAAATGTTCATATTTACAAACAATTTATATACAATTAATCAATAAAGATTTTTAATATGTAATGAACAAAGAAATTCAGATCAGTTTCAAAACTTCATTTTGGATTAGTTTAACTAAAAAACAATGGAATAATAAAATGTTTTTTTATATTTAAATCTGATTAAAAAAAAATCGAAATTGATTAGCCATGCTATTAATTGTATTGAAGAAGTTTGTATTTTAAATAAAGAAGCATCTATTAAATGTCAATCGATTGATCATTTTAGTTTTTGCATAGTATAGAGTTTATCATTAGACTATAATTTAGAGTGAAGCTTTTTTTCAGAAAAATTAACTGAAGTCAGTAAATATTTTCTAAGTGCGTTAACAAATCATATTAACAAAACTTTATAGTTATATATACTTTAGAACTCATGACTAGACGACAAAATTTCTACACGATCATCAATATCGAACAAATCAAATTCAATTTGCCATGGAAATGGACATTTATTGATGTTTTATATTCATTTCATGTGTATAGTTAGTTTGTTCATTGAAATAACTGATTTTTCGATTATCACAATCGATTAACAGCTCTAGCTTTAATATTGTTTCGGCTTGTAAATCTCTTGAGTGATTTCTAATTTTATGATCAATGTCAGGATTGTTTATGCAATCGTCAGTTTTCCAACCGTAGGCAAAATAATCCTTTTTAGATGATCCTCCCAATATACAGAAAGATTTTGAGACGATATTAAAATATATCACATACAGTGCAGTTTTTTTGTTAATGATGAATTGAACTTTATGCTTTCCTTGTGAATACTCGCCTATAATGCGTGCGTATGCATTACCACATTCGCTAGTACCGTGTTTAATCACACGGCCGTTATCTTCAATATTAATATCGCCAGAAACTTCACCGAATCGTTCTTCGAAGTCTAATTGTTGTATTGTAGAGGAGATATACATTTTAGCAATAAGTACATTAGTTGGATCCTCATTAATATGAATCGAATAAGAAACAGCAGAAATATAACGTTTCCATTTATCAAGTTTAATTGTCCATATTTGAAGATCATTTTCAACATAATCATCATCTATACGAGCTTTTCGTAATCGTTCAGCAAGATCATTCAATTTCTTTGACACTTTTTCTTAATTTTATGAATATTAATCAACAAAAATGATTTATTTCATATTAATTTACCTGTTTGTGTATTGATCAATTTGTTAACTTGTTGTCGTGCTTCTTCAGCTGTTTCCCGAACCTTTTTTATTGCATCTGTTTCCCATTTGTTAATTTGTTCAATAAGAGGATGGCAATGGTTTTTTTTTATGTTCATACTCAACAATAGTCTGCTGTAAAATATCATGTTCGAGAACGATATTGTCTAATTGACGACTAAGATTGTCTCTATGTTCAATGGAATGTTTTCGACAAAATACTCGTGTACATCCTTCACATTTAAAAATACCCACACCATTTTTGCCGCATGGCGCACAAACAGCTTTTGATGGCGATGATGATGCCATGAGTTTTATTTCTTCGTCGTAAAATGAAAGAAAAGAAATAATAAAGTTATTCTTTATGTGTTTCGCCATTGCGTCACCAGAAACCGATGATTAATACAAGAACGCAAAAAATGTATTTGTGAATCAAACTGTTATGAGCTCATTTTCTTTCTGTTGTCTTTTTGATGATGTAAAGAAAGATGAAAATTCATCGAAAACTCGCTATGATAATAGCTATTTCTCATACATGTTGTTAGTGGAATACACTAATAAATGGTACATTATTTATAGATAATGTTACATACCTAAGTTATCCTATAGATTTCATTTTTTTTTGACAATATCTATCAATTGATAAATCAACAGTAATAAAACTGAATGTTCTTTATTTCATCAAATTTATGTAATAATTTTGAATTAAATAAAGGCAACTGCATAAATATGTAATTGATAGCTTTCATTTGTTACTGTTCTATTTCCTTTTCGTTTATTCTCTCTCAACATATTAGTTTTCTTCATATTGGATACGAATATATATGTTATGACGAATCAGTAAAATGACTATATAATCTATATTTGTCGTATAATGGACAGTGAATAAACAATGAACTCTTTGAATTTAACGTTTGTTATATCGACCGAGTCACTTATGCGTATAATTCTGCTGTATAGGATAATCAAATATATTATAGTTGCTAAAATATTAACAAAATGCCCTTGAAAATACTAAGCAGTATATCGATAGTGTATGACTGTGCGGAGTCGACAAAGATACTACTTTCTTTCTGATACTGTTAAGGTGTGAGTGATGTTCTTAACATCATGCACACTGCTGCATCCTTTAACAAATGTTTAGTTACATTGAACTTGAAAGTTGAATTCAATTAATAAACAATGTTTTCATGTATTCAATTCAATGAAAAACAAGACTTTGTGACACTTTGCATTATCCAGCCGACTTACAATTTGTCATATTAAAGGTTTTTTGAGGGTCAAAATGTTTTGTAGAGATGTATGATCTTCTACTATTGATTATTTTCTTATGCTATTATCAAAACTGTCCTTATTGAAACATTCGTATGTTATTGCATAGCTCGAATTTGATTGTTTTGTTGGGCTCTTTTTGTTAATGTTTGAAAATGTGAAAATACGTAAATAAATGTATATTTTTCTTCTGCTTCATTTTATCATTATTCTCATAAATTTAAGTTGCAACTGTAATAAATTTAAAACCTTACTAGAAAGATCTAGTAGTATTAAAAAAATTAACTGCTGATAGAACTCAAGTAGTTCATCGATGACCGTACCACTATGAGAGTCACATGAAAAATTACGATTTTCCACCCATATCCATCTATCTACGTTCACAACCACCTATCCATAGGCTCAATTAAAACAACGACTGGTGGATAGGATTTAATTGAGGACTATAATTCATTATCATGTCTTGAAAACAAAAAAAAATAATACGTCGATTCATTCAGAAATCTATTACATTCATTTCCACCTAGTATACATTTAGTGATTATGACAATATTATAATTTTCTATTATTATTTATGCAAGGGTACATGCATCGATAATTGCACTATTGCCTCTAACAGAAAATTTTGTTCTTTTACTACCTCTTCTCGTACCTGGCCACTATATTAAAAATTTCTTGCAGATTGTAACTGTAGATGTTATTGTTTATTAGACTTTACACTCGAAAACAAAGTTTTGAGAAGTAAAGATGAATCTATTTTGTATAAATATCTTGAAGATACAACAGAAAATCATGGATATTCCAGAAGTACTTTCCTAAACTTGAAAACAAAGACATCAAAGTTTTCTTTAGATTTATGTAAGGATGAACCATTTCTATCATTTATCAAAATGAAAATTTCTGTTTCGAAAATCCTAAGTTTTCACATAAAAATCAGTATCAATCTTTTGTCAATATACCAATAGATTTTAATCAATATTTCTGAATAGCTCCATTTGAGCACTATCAATGCTAGTCTTTATGTTGACAGAATATATAACTTCAATGATCAGTTAGTGCAGTGTATAGAGTCTTTGGAAAAAGTCAAACTACTCAATCGATGTTTTCATATTGATTTTGGTGAATGAAAAGAATGGCAAAATCAGCACTTATCACACGAGAGATGAATGTTTGGCAATGTGGATTGTGTACCAAACCAATGATACATTGGTATTAGTAATGCTAATCTTTAAGAGCATTTTATTTTTGGCTATTTCATTCACAATACAACATTATTTTCTTCAAACAAGGTTTAAAAAAACTGCGTCCCTATTCAGTTGTTTGCGAAGCGAGTGTTTAAATTGAATATATTTGGTCCTAGTCTCAAATAGTCGACGAATGTGAGATGTGGGTCTTGTCGCTTTTCCTCAGAACCATTGTACGTTGCAACAACACCTGCATGCGCTTTGCTCCGATAAATCATATAAGTATGGTGATTACCAACATGTAAAAGAACTCTAATAGTGTTTTTATCATCTGTTGCAGCAACAACTCGTCCTGTACCTTTCTTGCCGAATCCTAAGCGAACCAATTTCGTCGAAAGAGCATCAAATATTTCCCAGCCACCGCGATGATTATGATAGAGTTCGAGAGCTTTTTTTGCTTCTTGATTACGTTCAATTATCATCCAGTGTTTTTTGTTACAAAATGTCGGAAAATCTGTGGAGTTCAAGGAACTAATATTTGGTATTGTACTGGTATTTGAGTTACATTGTAAAACGTGACATAGATCATTGTCATAATGAAAGTAACGCCTAAGATCAACCAAAGCTAGATTGAATTTGTGTAATGCATTCACACCAGCCACATCATCGTCTATAGTCCATTCATTTCTTTTGTGTTCAGTGATATTTGCAACGGATGTCGCTTCCGTATTTTTATCGTTATCATTTTCGGCGCTACGTAAAAGTGTCATGATCAATAATTTATTAATACGTTTGTCAGGCCAGTCTATTTCATTTTGTTCAGATATTATTTCAGCAACATCACGTATATCTAAGTCGAATACATGTAATACAGTTAAACGAGCGATACTATCATATCGAGAGTCATCATTATCTTTGTTGATTTGAAATCCTAAGGCACATTTGATAATGTATAGCTTATTTGTAATTGAATTCACTTTGGTTTCTAAAAGAAAAACTGAAAAATCATTGCACTGTTGCGTCTACTATTTCAAAAACTCTGTTTCAATAATACATTAGCAGAAAGACAATTTACATTCTTGACTAAGTCTTTTATAAAAATGGGAAGCTTCTATTGCGACTTTCTTTTAATATAAATTCATTCAGTCATAAAGAATGAACTTTTTTATTTGTATACGTTTTTAAATAGATAAATGTTTTTAATCAATAGAAAACTATTTTCATGGGAAAATCTATAGAAAAATCGTCCAAGAAACAATTATACATTACAATTCAAATAGTTCAACTCGACATACTTTGTTGTTGTTCGTTGACAAATAACGTTGCTTCGTTTTCATCCTCATTCGTAGACCCCTGTTTAAGGTTTTCTTGTCCAACAAGTGTTTCAATTTTATATTCTTCACCAATTGTCTTCAGCTTCTCGCCAATGACTTGTACAGCTTGAGCAAAAACTTTCTCAATTTCTACATTCTTACGAGAATCATCATGGGAGTCGTAATCTCCATGTCTTATTGCCAGGTCTTCTGATGAAATCTCTTGTAACTGTCCTTGATCAATAGTAACAACGACATCTGAGAACAGTTTGGTCTTAACTATCTTGGAGAGAATATGTAGAATACCACTCTATATTGAGAAAAAGAATGATATTATAGTGTGAAAAAACTTGTTTACCTTCTTGGTAGCACGTCGATAATAGGCATCTAGCAGAACACATACAAGACCTGCTGCTAAAACAAAGCGATACCAATAATTCCAAAGATCCTCTTCGATCATTTTTCCATGTGCTTTAGACCATAAGACGAAGAGAGCACAATATAGTAGATGAATTAAACGATCCAAAATTGTGTCTATGTCGGTTTTTAAAATAGGATCGTTCGGCTTGAATTTGCAAAAGTGAAAATAAGCGTACTTTAGAATAGGTTCTATGATCTGTTCGATACCACAAACTTGGCCATCTGTCTTGACAACAATAAATAAATGATTCTTGAGTTGTACTAAGTCCATGACTTCTGGTGTATGCTTATGTAGAAAGTTTGTCACATATTCATCATAGGATAAATTACATTTCTCAATAGAACAATCACTTTCATGTTGAATCTTTGCAAGTTTTTCGAGAGATTTCACGGTATTTTTTGTCAATACTTCAAAATTGCCTTGCATTATATCGCACAGTAATTTGTGTCGATCAAGTTTGTTAGGCACGGTCGATTGTAAAGAGAGTATGAACATCACATTATTTGTTGATGTTTGCAATTCGTATCGAATCTTCTCATGAGTGTGTTCGAATGGAAATAAGCAGTTGAGTAGTCGTGCAATACTGTCATTCAACTGCTTACTGGTTGGTATGTGAAGCATTTTTGTTCCGCTTGTTGAAATATCATTTTTCTCGTTCGATTCAACACATCGTACTAAGCCATTAAAAATAAGATCACTTAGATTCGCTAAGTTGATTGCCATTTCCTGTGTGTATGTAAAAAAAAGAAGCTGAAGTGTTTGCGCAAAAGTATCAAGGTCAATAATAGACTATTGGGATAATATGAACTGCATCGAGAGTACCTGAGGAATTTTGAAACAGAGATCATGTTCTTGCTCGCTTTTATCAAACAGAATTACTGATGAAGCGTTACAGATCAGAATGCTGAAAGTTTTTGATAAGAGAATCACAACACGGGTTTTCAATAATAAAAACTCAAAGATTCAATCCGATTTTCCATTCGTTGTGTTTGCCGTGAGATCAATACTTCAAAAAGTGGACATTAACTCATGTATATTTAGATCTCGTAGATTTATTCTATACAAGCTAGCAGAAACTCAGAATATATCCAACATACGATCGTGTGAGAACTGTAATTATTCAACTGGATATCACATGTGCTCATTCAATATTATTGACCATGATTAGCAAGAGCTCAAACAATCGACGTGAAAATCATAGTTGACTAGTTTAAGAAAGATATGAAAGGATTAGTCAAAATGAGATGTCACCTGATTTAACAAAAAGTAACTATAACATACTGCTCATATAGTACGTAAAAACGTTCAGTGATCGTCAGCAACTATCTACTTGTTAAAGTTATGTTCAATTCATTCGAAGTGATCGCGTTTTACCTTTTCTCTTTGAGTAAGTAATGTTAATTTGTTGAAAATAATATGCCGTTGGTAGAGCGTATTTTTTATGCAACGCAAACTATTCTTGAATCGACTCGGAAAAGAATATAATTAACTATTATTAAAAGCATTCTTGAAAGGGAATGAATAAATGATAAGCTGCGTTCTCGTTCTTCGCTTCAAACTGTCGCATGATGTTGAGTTGGCAGAAATGAGGAAAAAATGTAAAGAAATCAATTATCATGACGTGTTCTATGGTGGCAACGTTCAACTTTGAAGAGAAAACGGTGATTTTCACTGATGCAAACGAGAGTCGATTTTAAGTTGATCATTTCAAGATTCTGTTAAGTGACACTGAAAAATCAAGTGAACGCTTTGTAATATTATAGTAAAAACACTAAATGGCATGACGTCTTTCTAACGATGAACAGCTGCATTTCTGTCTCTTTCTCTTTATTTAATATGTGAAAAAAAAGAGTGGTGTTGCTTTTGCGTCACTAAAGTGAGCATGTGGATGTGAGTTTTCTAAGCAGCCATACGAACATTCCACACTGAAAAGTCCACTCACCTTTGACTTGAATAAGGTTTACACTGTCAGTTTTGAGTCTTTATAGGATTATTTCAAGTATAAAAATGTAGTTTCAAACATAAGTTTTGAACAGGTCTGAAGAACATAGCCGTCTTTTTTTCTTTTGATGATTCAACTACTATTATTGATGTATCCAGTATTTTTCGAACAATAGATGAAAATTTAGCAGAATTCTTCAATAAATGGACTATTCAAAGTTTCCTTTGAGTATTGATGAAGCATTTTTTGCACGACAGAGAAGATACGTTTATTGACGTCTGATCAATAACTATGAACAGTTTGATCCTTGTAACTGGAATATCGTCTCATGTTCTTTCATTAAATTCGAAATACCTATTACATGTATCCCATCGACCTTTCTCAATTGAATCATATTGCAATATTTGATTTTTTTTTCACACTATTTTTGTGCAATGCTTTTTCATAGATTCTAGCAAATCAAAATAGCTCTATAACTTTCTTCATTTCCCATTCGTTTTCATAAATTTCTCTTTAATGTTCGTGACTTGAAACGAGTGTTTTACGTTGTGTCTGCCACAGAAGTATCAAAAGAGATAAGAACCGAACACATTATGCAGCCAATATTATTACAACAGTGCAGTTGCCATCATTTTTTGCTTAGGTTTTGTGATGCGTAAAACTATAATATGAGTTTGAAAAGTAGTTTTTCCTTTTGTTTTGTATTTGAGCTTAACATGATCAAACCTAATTTCAAGCATTGAAAATCTTATGCTTGTAATTTAATCATTGTTTTCTTTCTAAATTCACTTGCAAGAAAATCTATGCTTTATTTAAAGAAATGACACAATGCATAGCTTCCAATCTGTTCAGTATTTTATGTTGAACTGGACGACTAGTTAGATGCCAGAAACCATTTACTTTGAGAGTGTATACTAGTTTGGCATATTGAACACACATTTATATTTGAGAGTCAACAAGAACGAATAACTTTTCATAAGTCAACATGTACTATGGGAACAATTATTTCTGTACACAAACTTTTTATATAACATTTCAGATGTGTCTGATACGACATTATTTTGTACAAAGGAAATCGAATTCATTGAGGCAAACATCATAACACCTATTGGTGTAAGACAAGGTATGAACGCTAGCACTGATTTGCTTGCAGTCGATATTGCTCAGTTGATGTTTCTGACATTTCGGTCTTACAAAATAATTATTGCTTTTTATTTCATGATTGATGAAATGCTAATCGATGTAACTGAATGAGTGAAAATTTTGTTCTTGAATATAATGTAAGAACATTTAATTGTGTCAATGACTGTAACTGTTGTGTCTATGCCAGATATATGAATATGTATATATGATGACGTCTAACAATCAATATGAAAAGACAAAAATCAATCTTATGAATTCGTTTTAGTAATACATAAGATCTGTTTCATTTATAGCACTCGCAATTTAAATTTGTTTTCTTCAAAACAAAAATTATTCGATCACAAATACATCGCCTCATCAAATGGTGTCATTATCAATCGAAAGACATGTTGTTGCTGCCCGGCACGCCGATTCTCGTCTGAATGAGCGAGTGTACAATTTTGTTCACATTTCTCGCAAAAGATCAGCGATGGACAATGTACACAATCGAATCGAATACCACGTACTGTCTCATGACAACCATCGCACCTACAAATAGTTTTCATTGTCAGAGATAATCAATCGATGAACAATATTTTTCTTGCTTACTTGATATTTTCATGTACTACAACTGGGCTCTCAGGAGGTGGTAGATCATTCATGAGTTGTTCAGGTCTTCGAACGGTTGCTGATCTATATTTTTTCGCCTGGTCCCATGTGAAGCTTTTTCCACAACCTGATTGAGTATTGCCGCCATGATAATCTTGTCCACATATCATTGATGCGCATCCTTCTATACGCTCAACAACTCGATGACAATGTGGACAATGACGACAATGCTCTGCTTTGTATTTTTCATCTGCTACTGCTGTATCATAACGGTGACGTAATTCTTCATTTCGTTGTCTGTTGGCAGCATGTTGTTTTTCGTGCTCAGCTAATCGAACTGCATATGCAGCATCTTGTCTTGCTCGCTTAGCTAAATAGCGAGCACGCTCTTGAAACACAAACAAAGCAATGAACAAAAACAAAACAAGTCAATAAAATCCGAGTACGTCTGATACTGTACCTGAGTTACACCAGAAGAACCATCGTTCCGTGATCACAGTTAACTGTTGACAACCTGTTCGATAATGATATTGCTGATTACACAGTGAACAAAATTCATTTGCACACAGTTGACAGATGACTCGAAAACGTTCATTTGGATCATTGGGCTCGAAGGCCCACATACAACTTTGCTTTGGACATTTGATCACGCCTCGACCGCCGCCTGCATAACGATCGAAGGTTTTCTGTACCTGATACTCAACAAAGAGATCTCGTTGATCCGGTGATACTCGTAATTGATTCAGTTCACCATACTGAAGCTGATAAGGACAAATACCACAAGTGAGAATCTCATTATTGTTCATCTTGACTCGACAAGATGCTTCGTAACATTTGTAGCACAACTTGTGACTATCATCACAGCCAAATACAAAAATATCATCTAATAAACACGATTCCATGCAAACATCGCAGTCACGAGTGGGGAGCTCCATTGGAAAGACGTCGTCTGCAATGATCAAACGACTAAACTATAGTCCTAATCAAAAGATAAAGAAATAACTCACCGTACTCGGCCAGTTCTTCGACAATGGAAAGTGGATTGATAACCGGATTAGTTTTCTTCTGATTTTCAATAAAGAAGCCAATCTGTCGTGCACTAAATGGATACTTAGTGCGAGGTAAAATAAATTCAATTATCTTTTGTTGGCGTCCTGTTCGATCATTACGACACTGTCGACTATGCTCATCGTATACAGTGAGATCCTGTGGACAGTAACAGTGTTCGCAAGGAACCATATTTTCTGGATGACAAGACTCCACATGTTGGTAAAGATCGACAATCTGTTGGAGATCGATATAAAAGTGACATCGAGGACACTGTGGACGTTGTTGAGTCTTGACAAGAGCTAACAGTTGTCGGAACATATGTTGAGTCAGAGGAATACATGCGAGGTCATGGCGTGAGAGTTGATAGTCACATAAAATTGAATGACACACAGGAATCGATTGCAAAGCAATAAACTGGTTCATTGAATTGTATAAGCATCGGAAGCAATGAATATGATATGATCGACACGGGATGACAAAACCTGAACCATCACCTGGATTCACTGAGCAAGAACTTTCAAAAAAAGCACCTGCTTATTAATTGTCTTAGTTGACAGAAGAGTTTCTGTCACGGGCAAAAAGTAGACGTGCATCCAGAAATGATATGAGGAAGGCTAACTTTGGGAAAAGAGAAAATCTGTTGCCGAAAATTTTTGTTAGTAGCCTTCTGCGAATGTTTTCGTTCTTGAGAAAGAAACACGGGTCTCATGCTCTCTCCTTCAGTACTTCTGCGATAAAAATGTGAACTTGTCATAAACATAAATGGATCTAGATTTACCTTCGAACACTGACTCTCACAAAAATAATGAGATTAGACTTCAGATTAGAAGTGCACTATTCGATATATCTCGTGTCACTTGACAGAGAAGTCGACGATGGCAGCAATGAAAAACTATTAATGCACGGCTTCATGAAAATTCTCGAATAGTTTTGAAGACTTTGCCAAGAAGATTAACTCGGACTAGTCTTGTAATTTTTACAAACAATTGTTGAAGTTTCAATCTCATGTTAGTCGTATTTCTGCCTAGCTGAAACTCAGACCTTTGTAGACTCTCTAGCTTTATATTGGAACAAGTCGAATTCATCAAGTTGCTGTGATTCGCCCACCATCTGTGTTTGATAATCTTGTTTTGATAGAACAACTGAAGAAATAATCCCACACAATCACTTGACTTTCAGCGACAAATAGCATAAAAATATGACTGTCAATTATTCGAAAGGTTACTCACCAATTGAGACAAGATTCTTGTTTGCGTTGAACGAATCTGCTTGTGGTGGGATTGTCCGGCGTTTCGGGCAAGCATGCTTCCACGTGGGTCACATAGTCAGCCTCAGGAATCAACTTGAAACATAGTATGCACTCTTTGGCATTGTGTTCGTTGAAGGTGCTAGCTGCTTGGGAGTCAGACTAAAAATAATATGTTTAGAAAAGAAAAACATAACGGTTTTTTTTTCTTCCAATAATGCTGAAAAAACATTCAAGACAAAAATTCCTGTTAAACAGAAAAGTTCGACTTCTCCATTGTATATCAGTGATATTTAGAGTATTGCCCTCGAATTGTGATATAATCATTTTTGTTCCAACAATTGACTCATGAAATGAGAAATGCTACAACAGCTATTCAGAACCCATGTTTCGTATGTACGTTCTCTGTGTTATCGGTCTTAAACTATTTTCTAGCAAATGTTCAGTATTTTACTAAGAATAAGAGACAAGAGGAAGCGTATTCGATAGGTTTTCTTCTGGTCTATGTCCTTATCCTTTTACATCTTGAATTGCTTCTAATTCCTACTCTCGTATATAATGGTGAATATCAACGCGTTTCAAAAAAATATTGTTAACATTGCACAGGAGAAAATTAATATATCATTACTACGATATTTAGATGTATGGACAATTTATTTCCGTGAGAAATATCTAACTATACAAAGAGACAGATAAATCGGATAATTTAATTTATTTGACAGCATGATATACATGTTGTTTTTCTTTTTACCTGAGAAGTACAAGCTACTGTCGACACTTCATTGTTTGCAGTACCAGCCTTGCTTACATATGTTTTGCAATGCTCCAATGCATTGATAACATTTTTGTTCGAGAATGGATATTGCATTTGAGTCTCAATATCCGTCGTACCATTTGATGAATTTCTTGGAGCTACGTGAATGTTGTTCTGTACTTCGCATCGAACGTTAGTCTGCTGTGGATCGACTGATGAGTCAAACGAACGATCTGTGCCATTTGTATTTTGCTCTGTTGAATGATTCTTGGGAGTAGTGCAAAGTTGGCTATTGAGTTTGATTGATGGGAAAGAATCAGTTATGATGGTATGTTGATTCGATTCTACCATCAATGGTAAGGTTTTGGTCGCTTCAGTCGATGGAGCGTTATCAGGGAAAGAATCCGTCATCACCTTAATACTACAGTAGTCTTGTTTAAAGAAGAAAAACACGAAATGAGAACAACTACACGGTGTGATAACAGTGTAACTGTGTCCTTCACAACTGCAACTTACTGGATGATGATGCAAGAACAAATGTTTTTCATGAAGGTATAAACAAGAACGCAAAAAAAGACGTTGTGTGATTCATTCACATCAAACAATCAGAATGAATAAACGCAATCGGAGTTGACGTTTCAATCTGCATCTTGTTTGAAAAAAATTTTAAAAAAAGAAATTCAAAATAAAATTTCTACTGCGTCGAAAATATTTTTGACTATTGATATAAATCAAAAATATCAACTTGGAAGAAGCATTAAACATGTCTCAAGGCTTCGTTTTCTATTTGTGCACTCTACATGATTTCTTTTTTTGATCGTTGTAATATGTGTTTGGAATTTTATTTGTATCGAAAACTCTAAGCATAAACTTTGATACACTCGAAAAACACCAACACTATCCAAATTATAAACAGGATTACCATTAAGTTCGATCAAGAGTCTCCACATTTCTTATTCTTCTGTATGTTCTCTTATGCAAAGAAAACTGGCAACAATAATCATTACACATGGTCACATGCTTTACTTTTCTTCTTGTGTATTTCTTCTACCTATGAAGATTGAGAGCAAGTGAATGCGTTCTTCTTCAGCATTAAAAACAACTACTCTCAATTGAGCATTACTTTAAGTTTATCAAACTTTTCTTATTGAAAAAAAAGAATCTAGGCGATATTCTGAAGTCTTTAAACCAATGCTGATGTTAGCCTATGCAGTGCTTGTAGTCACTAGAACGGATGAAATGCAGGAGTAACTTTTTAATGGTTCAAAGACAATCACTACTTTCTTTCGTTGATCGAATATAGAAAGAATTCTCTTGTGCTCTTAATGTTGTCGAGTTTGAAAAACGTATATACTCAATAACGCTCCTACCGATGCAAAATCAAAAACTACTATTACATGTCTAAAATGAAAAGATTTATCATTCGGTTAACGACACAGAAACTTGCATGCGAAATTTGATGACATATATATCAATAATATTTGAAATTTGTTTATCCTTTTTATTTTTCTTGATTGATAGCCTCTGAATCTTGCTGAGAAAGATCCGTAGTACTTGTGATGAATGTATTGAAGTTTCTAAAGATAGTTCTACCGACGTCGAGAACATTCTCTTCATCACGTCAGAAATCGAACGAATGTATTCTCATTTTACTTGGTCAAACTTTTCGAGAGTATTTATTTTTGTACTTTATTACAATTGCTACATCAAATATGATGATCAATGTGACAGAAGTTTTTCTTTGTCATGATTCGGGATTCCGAAAAGCGATGCGGTATTTTTTCATTATGGCCTATGAAAATAGTTTCTTCGATGAACACCAGCATGTTTTATGAGATATTGAGTTCGATGCAATCAGAATGATTACGTGTCACTCTACATTTCACGAGGTCAACACGAGTCTTTTTCAAGCTTCACCATCGGGATTTAAAACTGTTGTTGGAGACGATCAATGTGAGTCTGAGCAAGCATTGTTTGTATATATCTGCCAATAAAACGTGTACAATGATTTTCTACTTACAGTTGTGCTGATATTTCGTAGAATGTGTATTGTTTACCAAGCAGAAATCGTTCCTTAGGGTCTTGCGGATGTAGAAAAGATTATAGTTAAAGTATTTTAATATGAAAGAGCTCTGACAACGGGTAATATAAACATTGAGTGATTCATACTATTATACGGTGACTTGCTCGAGTAATTATGAGTAACGAGTCAGGAAGTGTTTGCACTTATGACCGATGCTACGTATTTAGTGATATGTTTGCTATCGAAGGTTAGCGATAAATAACAGCAGGAATAATATGTCAGTAGTGATAGAATCAACAGACCAATTAATATTTTATGATAGTTCCTCTATGTTTTGTATTCGAATATTATCAGAGTAGTCACAATTTTTTAGTATTTTTCAGTTCTATGTGTTTTTGTCGAATTTTGCTTAAATTATTCAGAATATAAATCTTATGGTTTAAGCTGTTCTTGTGTTTTAGTGATCGATGGCAATCAATCAATCTTTATTACACGGTTTATTATACTGTGCTGCGCATTTACTGCAAACAACGTGCAGGTTCACTTGATAAAAGACAATTATCACAGTAGTTATCAAGTTCCTGCATTAGAAGGTAACAATAAATCAATAACCAATAAACAAAGTCTACGTACAAGCAACTATTTTTGTAGAACTTGCGGCTATGTGTAATTCAGCGTCGAAAAAGAATGCCTAAGCACTATATTGACAAATGCATGCTGTCATTTAGCGTAATTGCTTATATTACTACATATTGCAACGCTGTAGTTGTAATTACTTCCATCATGCATCATCTATTATGATACATATTATGTAATTCATCGTTTTATCTAAGGTCCGATGACAGGTAAATTCCCGATAACATCAGCTCCTCTTTATTTAAATTAAACGACTTACAACATTGATCGTATGCATATCACCACCATACACATCAATGATGTGGGAATCATTTAGCTTCATCAACGAATCTCTATTGTTTGTCCGTACAGTTTTGTTGCACTTAAGTAAAAAAGTGGTTGAAAAGTTATTTCAATAAAAATTCGCCCATTATAACTAAAAAAGTTTGAATTTTTGACCATTTATGAACTGAAAAATTTTTTCTCAAATTTTTTTTCATATCACGTTATATGTAGTGTTCCATTGAAAGTTCGCTCTTATTAGATATGTA